CCTCCTTCTTGCCTTTTTTGAAGACTCTTTTCTCTTTCTCTTTCATCCCAAAAAGCTGGTAGTAAGAATGAACTACTAACAAAGCCCTGCTCTACAGCTTCTCCCTTTCCTTACCTAGGAAAGGTTTTGCTAGTTGAAGTTTTCTTTATTGCAAGGCTTTTGCACTGGGGCTAGAATATATTCTAATTGCAGAAAATTTGCTTGTGTGGTCTATTTTGTGCAAAATACCTTCAGTATCTCCACTGAGTATTTTAATGTTGCTGAGATGTGCTGGTTATAACGTGTTCTCTAGCTGAGACGTTCCCTAAAGAGTTGTGGGGGAATCAGACTGGGTACATCAGATAAATCCCAATTTAACTGAACTCAGTGCCAAAACTCCCATTGACTTAATTGGGACAGGAATTTCAAATTGCTTTTTTATGTAAAAGCTCATAAAACATTATAATTTAAAGCCATCTATCTAAAAGCAAACCCAGACTGTAACTAGTGGGGTTTCAGTAAATCAAGCAATGGCATCACACAGCGAACTCAGTGTATTGCGAGACACTGGGAAGAATAAATTTCTTCTTTACAGTTTTTCTTTTGGCAAAACATAAAATATGTTCGAATGTTACATCTCCTCTGTGATCTGGGAATCCAAGCTCTGGTGTGTGTGTGTTCGTTGTTGTTGTTTTTTGTGTTTTTTTTTTTGGGGGGGGAGTGTTGTTGATAGTCCCTTGGGGTTTCTTTTCCTGCAAAATGGCCTCATCCATCTGCTTGTCTGCTCTGCCTTCCCAAGGCAGGCTCAAGCTCTTTGCCAAGCTCCTGATCCCAGTGCCAGCAGCCACCTCAGCCCCCATCCCCATCTCTGCCCAGCTGCTGCTCTCTGCTGCAGATTTAGTTCCTGTCTTTGGTCAGTTTGGTCTGTGCATCGCTGCCTTTCGGCAATGCAGAAGCTTATTTTCCCATAGCCTTTCCTTCAGAAATATTTGCAGCACTGGCCTGGAGCTGGAGCTCTTGCCAACCTCAAAATCATCTGGAGGTGATTTCCCAGCAAAGTGTCTCCCCAAACAGGGAGGGCGCTGCTGAACTAGTCGACATCCACGTGGAGGAGATGTCCTTGGCCTTGGTGAGTTCACATTGCAGGTGTTCCATGCCACCTGCTTCCGTGGGGATTTCCATTTTATTACTTAGTGTCTGAGCAGGGCATTAGAAACACTTGATCTTGGCTGTATAAGATGATGTGTAGTGCAGAAAAGGCATGGCTTCAGCTGCTCCTGTTCTCCAGAAGCTTGTGGGGTTATGAGCATATGCTTGAAAGTCTAGTGAAGTCTGTGCCTGACATCCTTGGTGTCTGCTGCCTTTCAAGGAAAGGCTTCATCACTTCTAAGGGCTCGAGTTAGCAGACAAAAGGACTGAAGGAACTGAGCCAGGAGGTACGAAAGCCTAAATTTTCTGCCAATTATACTGCAATCAACCCACTCTTTAAGCTAAGAGATAGAGATGAGAGCGTATTATCAACACATTTAAATGGAAAATAGATTCATCGTTCCATTTTCGAAGAAAGAAAATGTTTGTGTTCGTAGAGCAGTCCCTAACTGATATAATTCGTTACCTGAAATGTTAGCTGTTTAACTTTTAGAAATCAGCAGCTAATAAGCTAAACGATGCTACTTCTGCTGTGGCGCCTGCAGTCACGGTTCCCAGTCGTCACTTTTCTTCTTTTGCTAGTTCTTTTCTGAGGTGTTATCCGGGATCTGTGACAGTTCTAACCAGAGTGCTATACTGGTTGTACCTTCTCTTCTTCTCACCACAGTGTTTTTTCACCTCTTCAGCATCTCTTTTGGCTTGCTCGTCATCACACGGTGCTGTGTTCCTGCCTTGTGCCCGTGGGATGATGCAGCCGTGACCCTCCTTGTGACCATCTGCCCTGGCTGTGCCCTAGTAAAGGGCCTTGGCAGGGCAGCTTGCAGGAGAGGCCAGGCCAGGGGCTGGTGCTGGCTTTCCAGCCACTGAAGCACTGCGGTTGGGATCCACGGTTCTGCAGGGGCCAGCACTGGCCTGGGGACCACAGCAGAGTCCCTGCTCTATATCCCCACCTTGTGTCACCTCTTGTAGAGCTGGCGTGGCTCTGCTTTGGGTTCTCAACATCCTTCAGCTCTTCCGTGTCCTGCTGCTACATTCTGTGTTTTGTCCTTGGTTTGACTTTGAAGCTGTGACTCGGAGGAGCGTGGGAGTTCCTGCAGGCTCTGCAGAAGACCCTAG